GACCTTGGAGACGAAGGGGAACGAGCGAGATGCGCGGACATTGCACTCGATAACCTTGATGTCGTTATCCTTGGCGATGAACTGAATGTTGAAGGGACCGGTGATGTTAAGAGCATCACCAATCTTGCGGGTGGCATCTTCAATGCGCTGGATAGTGGTGGGCTCAAGGTCCTGAGGCGGGAGAACCAGAGTGGCATCGCCAGAGTGAACACCGGCATTCTCAACGTGCTCAGAGATGAAATGTCCCACAACCTTGCCATCCTTGGCCACGGCGTCCATCTCAATCTCCTTGGCGTTCTCGATGTACTTGGTGATAACCACAGGGTGCTCAGGAGAGACAGCGGTGGCCTGCTTCAAGTAGGACTCCAAATCACCTTCGGAGTAGACGGTGTTCATGGCAGCTCCGGAAAGAACATACGAGGGGCGAACGAGCACTGGGTAGGTGACCTTGTTGCAGAAGGCCTTGGCCTCCTCGAAGCTCGTGAGTTCCTTCCAGGTAGGCTGATCGACACCGATGCGGTCAAGCATGCGGGAGAACTTGTACCGGTTCTCAGCAGAGTCGATCATCTCAGGAGAGGTACCGAGGATCTTGACACCGGCTCTGAAAAGGGGCAGGGCAATGTTGTTGGGACCCTGGCCACCCATAGCGCCCAATACACCCTGGGAGTTCTCAACTTCATAGATGTCAAGAACAGTCTCCATGGTGGTGGCCTCGAAATAAAGTCTGTCGGCCTCGTCGAAATCAGTGCTGACGGTCTCGGGATTTGCTGAATTTTTGTTTCGTTAGTATTAACGCCTTGCAAGAGTGTGTGAATGTGTGAATGTGTCAAAATAGATGGGCAAAATAGGGGGGCGTGAAAGTCCGAAGTCAACATGAGCAGAGATGTGGGGCCTGGTGGATGTGGGGCCGGGGGATGTGAAGTTAAGGAAGGAAGGAAGGGGGGGATATAAAGTTGAGGAAGGAACGGGAGTGGAGTGGGGGGATGTGAAATTGAGGAAGGAACGGAGGTGTGTGAAGTTGAGGGAGGAAGGGAGGAAGGAAGGAAGGAGCGAGAGAAACCGTAATACTTACAATTCGCCATGATGGTCTTGATGCCCGACTCCATAAGTGTGCGAATCGCCCTGACTGAGCACCAGTCGAACTCGACAGAGGATCCGATGCGGTACACACCCGAACCGAGCACCATGACACCCTGGTCATTGAACGTGATGTCATGCTCACTGGCATTATAGGTGGTGTAGAGGTAGTTGGTGTAGGCAGGGAACTCGGCTGCAACAGTGTCGATTTGCTTCACAAAAGGAGTGATGCCAGACTTGGTGCGAAGGTCACGAACCAACAGCTCAGAGGACCCAACAAAGTCGGCAATCTGGCGATCGCAAAAGCCCAGCTGCTTGGCGTGACGAAGGGCCTCAGGGTTGACAGACTTGCCCTTGAGACCCTCGAGGTGCTTGGCGTAGTCGATCAAGCCCATGAGACGGTCGAGGAACCACTTGTCAATCTGGGTGAGCTGCCAGATGCGGTGCACTGAGTAGCCATTGTACATGGCGTTGGCAATGGCAAACAACCGCTGGTCAGAGGGAGTCTGCAACTCATCGTCGAGAGAAATGAGAGCACTCTCCGTCTTGTTGAAGCCAAGGTTGTGGAAGTCGATGGAGCGAATGGCCTTCTGGATAGCTTCCTCAAACGTTCTACCAATGCTCATGACTTCACCAACACTCTTCATGGAAGAACCGAGCTGGGAGGAGACACGGTTGAACTTCTTCAAGTCCCAACGAGGCATCTTGACCACGACGTAGTCCAGAGAGGGCTCAAAGCAGGCACAGGTGACCTTGGTGACCGAGTTCTTGATGTCCTTGAGAGGAATGCCGAGACCCAACTTGGCCGCGATGAAAGCAAGGGGGTAGCCGGTAGCCTTGGAGGCAAGAGCCGAGGATCTCGACAATCTGGCGTTGACCTCAATAATGCAATACTCCTTGGAGAAGGGGTTCAAGGCGTATTGGATGTTGCACTCGCCGACAACACCAAGGTGACGAATGACGTTGACAGCAGTAGTACGAAGCATGTTGTAATCCTCGTCCGAGAGGGTCTGAGAAGGAGCCACGACGATGGAATCACCAGTGTGAATACCAAGAGGATCGAAATTTTCCATGTTGCAGACAGTGATGCAGTTGTCTTGGCAATCTCTGACGACCTCGTACTCGACCTCCTTCCACCCCTTCATACTGCGCTCGATGAGAACCTGAGGACTGGCAGCAAAGGCCTTGCTGCACAGCTCGCGAAGCTCCTCTTCATCGTTGGCAAAACCACTGCCAAGACCACCGAGAGCGTAGGCCGCACGAACAATGACGGGGAAGCCAATATCCTTGACGACGTGCATGGCCTCCTCGAGGTTGTTGGCCGAGGCAGACTTGGCACACTTCTCGCCAATGGACTCCATGCTGCGAGCAAAGAGCTCACGATCCTCGGTGGTGATGATGGTGTCAATGGGGGTACCCAAGACCTTTACACCGAGAGCCTCAAACTCATCCTTGAGCTGAATACCAACCGACAGAGCGGTCTGACCACCAAAGGTGCAGTAAATAGCATCAGGCTTCTCGTGAATTATGACCTTGCGAACAAACTCGGCATTGACGGGAAGGAAATAGACCTTATCCGCAAGACCCTTGGATGTCTGAATGGTGGCGATGTTGGGGTTGATAAGGACGGTGTAGATGCCTTCCTCCTTCAGAGCCTTGATGGCCTGACTGCCGGAGTAATCGAACTCGCCGGCCTGGCCAATACTCAGACCACCGCTGCCAAGAACAAGGACCTTCTTGACGGAAACGCGGGGGTTGAGCTTGTTGTTCTCCTCCACGGTACCGCCGGGGAATTGAACGGGCTTTTGGAGCACACTGCTATCCTCAGAAGCCTTGACGACGGTTTGGATGAAGACATCAAAAAGGAACTCTGTGTCGCGAGGACCGGCGGTGCTCTCGGGGTGGAATTGAACGCTGAAGTGAGGCTTGTCGACGTTCATGATACCCTCGTTGCTACCGTCGTTGGCATTGACGAAGAGCTCTTGCCAGCCAGTGGGCAGAGTGGCAGCGTCAACAGCAAAACCGTGGTTCTGAGAAGTGATGTGGCATTTGCCAGTCACCATGCTCGTGCAGGGGATGTTCTGACCACGGTTACCGAACTTCAACTTGACTGTCTGCGCGCCGGAAGCGCGAGCCAGAAGCTGATGTCCCAAGCAGATGCCAAAGATGGGAGTCTTGTTCTCGGAAAGGGCGGTAGAGATGTGCTTCACAGTATCCTTCATCATAGCGGGATCACCAGGACCGTTCGAGATGAACAAGCCATCGTACTCTTCCTTGGAGAAGTCATAGTCCCAGGGGCAGACGAGAATCTCAACACCACGCTTGAGGAAGCATCTGAGCTGGTTGTACTTCCCACCGACATCGATACAGAGGATACGAATCGGTCGCCCGGTCGAGTGCTTGAGGACTGAAGCCGCTGGTGGGCTGTACAGCTTGGGCTTCTTGATGGAAACTAAAAGATGGTGAGCATGAGTCTGACTTAAGGCCTCTTCTAAACTCACCCTCTGCTACGAGATTCTTCTTGTTGGGATCAACCCATTCGACCTGTTCAAAGTATGGCCTCCAGTCCTGACCAGCCTTGCTAAGGACCGTCAAGTCAGCGAGGCTGTCTTTCTGCAACAACATGCGACCAAGCATGCTGCCCTCTTCGCGGATGCGCTTCGTGAGCGCTCTGGTGTCAACGCCGTAAATGGCGGGGATGCCCTCTTCCTTGAGCCAGGCGCCCAGGCTCGAGGTCGCGAGGTAGTGTGAATAATTCTCGCCTGCATAAGTGGCCACGACGAGACCGGCGATGTGGATCTGGTGGCTTTCAAAGTGTGCTGGCAGATCTTTCAGGAGCTCGCACATTGTTTCCCTCGAGGGGACGCCATAGTTGCCGACAAGTGGGAAGGTGATCACCAGGATCTGGCCACGGTAGGATGGGTCTGTCACCGACTCGGGATATCCGACCATGCCGGTCTGGAACACCAGCTCGCCGGCGACGCTCTTGGGGGCACCAAAGCTATAGCCTTGGTAGACCACGCCATCTTGGAGCTCAAGAGTGACGAGCTTTTCTGAAGATGTGAGGGGCGCCGTGGCGGGGGCGTAGATTTTGGCCTCCATTGTATCTGAGGAGAGGGATGGTCGGGGGGAGAAGGGAAAGAGTGTGGGAGCGAACGTGTGAGGAGGAGGATTACTTTTAACTCGGAGCGAGAACGGAGGACGGAGGGCGCGGCGAGAAGACAGGAGAGTCCAGTCCCTGGGATGGTGGGGAGCTCGCGTGAACGGGGGTGGGGAGCTCAAGTGCCGTCAGAGGGCAACAATGGGATGAGAAATAAGTGGTTTGAAGTGATACCAGAAGAGTCGTCGTTCAGGCAGCGGTCGTCATGCTCTGGAATTTGGCAGCTCTTCTGGATAACGAAAAGAAAACGAGAAGGAAAGTTTTGTGGTCGGCGGCTGGGAGGGCAGAATTTTGTATTGAGCTTATGCCCCGCCACTTTCCATACTGCCGGCCAAAACTTTTTAGATTTCCAGGGCGGTGGTGACAAGCTGCTGCGGGGTTCCCTGTGCGGTGAATTGAGTATGGCAGGATTTTCTCTCATTGGCCAATCACAATCCCAGGAAAGGCGTTAGCGCACTAGTTCATAGTGGGGGTTGTGACGGTCCGATGCAGCGTTCTCCTGGTCTGCCATTGTCCGATGTTCTGGTTGGCCGTTTATTGACTCGCTTCGAGATCGGAATTTTCAGCTCTAGATCTCGACTCACACTCTATCGAGAACCAGGTGTTTTAGTACATTTCCATGCTATCTCCCATTTGAATATTGAGTCAAATAAGGCTTGTGAAAAAATAGAAGAAATTCTGATTCGAATTAGATACAACTCGACAAGCTAATGCAGATACAAATACATAACGGAAAAAAGGTTATGCTTAAGCCTTTGACCTTCGATCCACCTAGGGCTCGAACTTGGAACCTTCCGATTTGTAGTCAGATGCGCTTCTAACTACGCCAGCAGACCGCCCTGCTTGTCTTGTAGAAGAGGAGTCGAGTTGAGGGTTGAAGAATCTTTTCAGTGTGGAGCTCTATCCACTTCCACATTTTTTAGAGGGGTTCGGCCGGCCGGTGGTGGGGCAACATTAACGGAGCCGAAAGTGTGGGGTAGCCGGCCCGAGTGGGGCTGCTAAAATGACGGATGATCTAGGGCTGGACAAGCCGTTCGAGTTCAAGCTATGACATGGAATTATCGAATATCGATCTCTATGTTGTCAGCCAAACCACGAAAGGAAACTTGCCGTCAAAATGAACCACCAGTGCCAGTAATTCGACTCCTCAGAGCCAGTTTGCCTGACGTAATTAGTAGCTCGAAGTTGTCTGTATGTGAAGAGCCATCGTGCGACCTCCCTGCTCTGTGTGGCATGTCGCTTGCCGACAATGCTAATGGAGGCCAGTGGTGGTCGATGAAAGAAGCAGCTGAAAAAAGAGATGGGGGTTTTTCGCTCTTGGTGTCCCTGAAGATATGTCGAGAGAAGACTGGCCTTTTTGTTCTTGCCGCATCGGCTTCAGCGCCGGAGACGTTTGAAGAGTTCCATGGTAACCACCGCCCGCGGCTGACAGACGAGTCAGACGCTGGCAATTTCGAGGTTCTGATGGTGTGTCGCTCTTGTCAGAGAGGATGCCACTGGCCGCGCGGGATAAGATCCAACAATCATCCATGGTTGCAGCGTGCAGGTGTCTTGCAGGAGCCCCGCTGTAACCTTACCCCATTCATTAAGGACCCTGAGCTGCCCACGGTGCGGTCATGAGGCCAACATCTGGGCCCAGATCTGGCGATGGCGACATGTTTTGATGCACGATGATAAGAGGAAGAGAAGTATGCGAGTATGACGGCAAACCTCCTTGTTTCCCTCCCCGTCCCTGGGATATCGTCAACTCAGCCGGCAACGATGCCGGATGGTGGGAGTGCTGAAGAGGAGAGACGGACCCTCAGACCGCTTTGAGGCCGCTCCTCACGGCGGCCTTGGCAGAGTCCACTTTCGACCCCGCGATTCGTTCTTGCTGTTGAAACTGGAACGGGGGGTCGCTTCAGCAGCGTGCTCCGAGCTTGCCCATTCGCCAAATGATCCAGATGGTGGGTAGCGAGTCGGGTCGGGTGGTGCAACCTTGTAAATAGGAGAGGGAAACAAGAAGGGAGGACACGAGGACAGCCTCCAGGACTTCGCCCTTCCTTTCCACCGTCTCTTTTCCTTTTCTGCTTCTCCAACGTTGGACGAGCTGGGAGCTGGAGTCGAGTCTTAGACGGCTTGTGTGGAGATCTGGCAGGGATCAGGCCAGTCGCCGCCGCATGCCCAAGTTCTGACACGACCTTATCAGCCCAGAATCTGGGGGTCGTTCACTTCACGGTATCACCCAATTCCCAGCAGCGGCTTCCTCTCAGCGGCTGTCATCTGTACTTTTTGGCCACCCAATCGCGGTCCACGGTCCACGCGTGTCTCTTTTTCGTCTGGTCCTTTTCTGTTTGTACCAGCCATTTGCGACAGTCTGGAGACGGCGCCAAGATGTCTTGTTAGAGCATTCATCTGATCTGAACTGCGACATCTGCCAACCCGGAGTCTGCAACCTGCATTCCTTGGTCTCCTGCAGCCTCGACGCTCATTCACCAATTCACCATCCCCCTAGCGATATATCGCGACGATTCAACTTCCATGGCGGCCGAGCGCTACGAATAACGAGTAGGGCACTTCGAGCCCGAATTAAAGAATGTTGTCCACTTTGATACGACCCTTTGGCAGGGGCCAAAAATCACAGGATGAAGGCCACCGTCCAGATATTGAACAGCGTTTTGCGCCTACCAATCGATTGCATCGCGCTTCAGTCGCTTCCATAGGCGAGTATCGCCAACATCGACATGCTGCGGCTGATTTCACCGAGGCCGACGACGATGATGAAGAAGACGAATCTCACCATGGTCATGGTCATGGTCATGGTCATGGCCAGGGACAATCATCCCGTTACCAAGCCACTAGTGTTCAGACAGAAGAGGACGAGGATGGGCAAAGTCATTCCATCGGCCTGCCTCTGTTCTCAACAGGCCATCTGGGTATGTATCCCCGGCGATAATTGGCTTGAAAGTCGACGATTAACTGATGTCCTCAGATTCACTTCCTATATACAGCATGACCCATGCAATCCGCATCATTGTCCAGGCTAGAACCGAGACGACTTTAACATGGGACCAGCTGAGATCCCCGCAGGTTTCGCAGTTTCTCGTCAAGCCAATGCAGCAACAGATACGGACACAGCACTTTTCTCAAGGCACCCTCTACGCCCTCATGGCCAATTGCTTGCAGTTCGAAAAGGAAGGGCAATTGTATCCAGGGAATTCCGGAACGAGCAGTACCAGAGCGAAGGTGTGTGAGCTGCTGGCCGTGAAATTGCTGAAGGAGTACTCCACACGAGAGCTTATCGACGCCCTGTCCTACGACTTCTATCCCCTACAGGGTATCCCGGGATCCCAAGGGCCACCTCAACACGCGAGATCTAGCCCGGCTACTATGCGAACTTCAACCCTTGAAGTTGCGATTCGAGCTTCAGCCAAGCATTTTCTGTCTCATCCTCTGGTAGTGATGCAGTTGGAGGCTATCTGGAACGGTGCGATCAGCTTCCACTCTGCTGAAGACCAGCTTCGTCGTCAGGGCTCCGCGTCGAGTGCTGCTGAAAGTAATCAGTCTCGCCGCCAGAGCACAGTGAGAACACCACTGTTGAGCCAGCAGCAACAGGCAAAGGAGGACCATGGACGGGCTCTAGCTCACGTTTCCGGTCGCCGATTCGTGGCCTTGTATGATCCTCGAACAGCTTCATTGTTCAAGCTTTCGAGGCTACGGGTCCCACGATATCGGCAGATTCTTTCCACCTGCTCCCTTGCCATATTGATCGGCCTGTTCTTGGCCGTTCTGTGGCAGAGGTCCAGCAGAATCACCTCTCTGGAGTTGATATTCTGGTTTTGGAGTGCTGGCTTTATGCTTGACGAGATTGTCGGTTTCAATGAGCAGGGGCTTTCTCTCTATATCATGAGCTTCTGGAACATCTTCGATCTGGGTATTCTATTGCTTCTGATCGTCTACTATTGCATGCGCATTTATAGCGTGTTTCTTCTCGATCCCCACAAGTGGAATGAGAACGCCTACGACGTTCTGGCTGCGAATGCAGTCCTGTTATTGCCGAGGGTGTTCAGCATTTTGGACCATTACCAATACTTTTCACAGCTCCTGATAGCCTTTCGTCTGATGGCTGTTGACTTGGCCGCTGTCTTCGTACTTATATTGGTGTGCTGTAGTGGCTTTTTTGTGTTCTTCACCCTCTCCAACAATCCCAACGATCCCTATGTGCTTGCCTACAAGATCTTTCAGATCCTGATGGGCTTCACGCCAGCCGCGTGGGAAGTGTAAGTACGGCAAGGTCATTTTGAGTGGATATTCTGGTTCACAGCTGACACGTTTATAGGTGGGACTCGTATACTTGGATGGGCAAGGCCTTGATGGCCCTGTTTCTTATCATCTGCCATTTTGTGATTGTGTAAGAAGACTGTTCCTTGGCATTCTGGTGAAGAATACTGACTTTGGAATAGGACAATCCTCATCACTGTCCTGACTAACTCATTCATGTCGATTGCATCCAACGCGAACGAAGAACACCAGTTTCTCTTCGCCATCAACACAATCTCCATGGTCAAGAACGACACGCTCTTCTCCTACATTGCGCCTGCCAATATCTTTGCGTGGGGTTTAATGCCACTCCGATACTTCATGCCGCTAAAGCAGTTTGTTTGGCTTAACCGCGCTGTGATTAAAGCCACACATTTCCCGCTGCTGTTTTGCATCTTCTTGTACGAAAAGTATTTCCTTGCGCCCTACATCTACGAGGCCACTGATTTAGTCGACAATCCTGGGCGCGGCCGTCCACATGCGTTCTCCCTAGGCGACCCCTCTACGAGATCGGCATTTTTCAGTCCCAGTGTTCGGGTGCGAGAGGAATCAGTACTTGGCTACCAGAAGGACCGGGCTTTGGAAGAAGTGTTTCGACGTGTTCCCGATACGGCCACGCTGAGAACTCAAAGAAGGAATGAGCGAAGGAAGACGCAGAATGCTATTCGCACGTGGATGGATCAGAACGATGGAGGCTTCCGTTCACCACAAAACTACTCGACAATTAACAGCAGGATGACCGGCGACTGGCGGCGAAGATTGAGTATGAATCGAGAACGCCCATCCAGGTTTCCCAGGCAGTATTCCGATCTCCGTTCTGCTGCTAGCGACCCAGCTGATTTTGTGTCCGACGCACCTTATCCAATGGCACCCGAGTACTATCACGATGGCGTCCACCGCAGGGACTATGCCCATGAGATGAAAGAAAACACGGATGCGGATGGAGATGACGAGCTTGTTACGAATGACGAGGAAGACGAGGACAACGTGACCAACACCATAGATGGGCATGGGAACGATGGCGAAGCCTATGAAGAAGATTACTTCACAACCCCAGTTGCTGGTCGTTTCGGTCACGATGAACCCCCGTCCACTGACTCGCCTCGTATCGGTCAGTCGAGGCGCAACGCTTTGCACACCCGTACATTGTCGACAAACACCATTCTCTACGTTCCAGAGGGGAATCATCAGCCTTACAGTTCTTCATCCGCTTCGATGGGTCGATCGCCACAGCTACCAACCCGACGACACACCCCGGTAATAACACCTGTTTCAGGCGGTGGCCTTCGCTCCCCTCGTCGATCTCTGTACATGACCGCATCACGCCCGCGTTCCATCGTTCAACCGCGCGACATGGCCCGCACAGCTCCTATTCGGTCAGGTCTCACCCTCGACATCCCAGTCCGAAGACCAGCAACTCAGCACCAACATCAGCAAAATGCGCATAATCTTCATCACCACAGGCGAAGAAGCTCCTCCGACATCAACGCGACAGCAACAGCCGACGATGAAGAGGACACATTTAGCGGTGTTCCAT